ACTACAGGTTGAGGAGGATTCTGGGAAATGTAGTCAAGAGTAGAGTCGCCATGTGATCCCAGGAGAGGACGTGTAGGGTAGCATCCTCGGTAAGATAAGGCCTTATGAAAATATATATTAGTGATTATGGGTTAATAATTAAGTCAAAGCTAGCCATTAAGAAACCATAGTGAACGGTCAACAGCTTCACAATATAGTGTCTCGTGTGTTATTTGGGGACTGAGACAGCGGCAGGAAGGACCCAGGCAGCTGGCGGGAAAGAATGTATGTCACAACTGAATATCTTGATAGTTTGTAGCTTGGGGAGAACAGGTCCCATGGAGACTTATCCTGGAATTGGTAAAGAAGCAATGGTCAGTCATATTACTCAGGAAGGGAGTGTTTGGTATTTGGAGGTTTGCACAGTGGCCTTGTTTTTTTTTTCCCAAGCGTAAATGGCATTATAAGGTATATTGTTTTGACCCAATGGGTCACAGAAAGCAAAGGGACCTAGTCTGATGCTGGTATTACAGGAGATCACTTAGAAGTCCAGCAGGACTTCTTTATCAACACCTTTATCTTCCTGGAGATATCAGGCCACTTTCTCAAGTGTGAGCAGCTGTTATTGTTATGTCTCACCCCCTCTTCCTCTTTCCTCCCATCTTCATCCTCCTTCTTCTCCTCCTCTTCCTCCTCCTATCAACTGTCTTTGTAACATAAAATCGGTTGTAGAATAGAATGATATTTTCATGGAACATATTTCATATTCTTCATATAAGGGCTACATTTTTAAGCTAATCTTCAGCATTTTTTTATTTGTCCTCAACTGGCCTGATCTCAATTGCATGTCCTTAACATTTAGAAATGTATGTGTTTGGAATATTTAGGGACTTGGGAACAGTAAGAATAAAAAGAGTCTTTATTCTAGGAACATTGAATCAGTGAGGAAACTATAAGGAAGAGCAAAAGTAATGAGATGTTCGCCAAGGTGTGTGTGTGTGTGTGTGTGTGTGTGTGTGTGTGTGTGAGAGAGAGAGAGAGAGAGAGAGAGAGAGAAAGGGGGAGGAGAGACTTCTTAGTTCCTATAGAGAAGCTGTAATTATCCCAGAAACTTCTAAGCACCAGCAAAGTACACGATTTCTATCATTTAATCATTTGCTTATGCCTTATGTATTTTGGGGCTTTGTACCAATTGAACTTGTTTACACCTCAGTACTAAAATCATGGACTGCTAAAATCATGGTAAGTGGCACGTAATATTCCAGGAGGCTTCCCTTGCTTTACAACTATGGAAAAGAAATATCTGCCATGTAAATTATAGCAAGAAACTATGTGCCACAGAGTTTTAATACCCAGTTCCTCCAACTGCTGTCAGCTGTGGTTACCCTCAGAGCCCAGAAGGTTTAAAGTCCTTTAAGTATTCGCTTTCATACAAATATAGTATTGAGCTAGGGTGGTTTTTGGGGGGGTGTCATTCTTTTCCAAAAGGTCATCTGCAGAGCTACCCGGTGGAGACCCTTCCTCAGAGGTGTAGGAAAGGCCAGGTTATGTCATAGACAACAGTGAAGGCTTGAGCTCGGTGTCTGTCACTGTGTTATTACTTTTGTTGTTACTCTGAAAAGATATTGAACAAAATTTCAAAAATGAAGGTTTATTTTTGCTGCAACACAATTTGAGGGGACAAAGTCCGCTGTGGCCTGAAAGAGATGGAAACAAAACTGTGAGGTCATTGGTCGCATTGTGTCTACCAGCATCAGGAAGCAGAGAGTTAAATTCATTTTTGTTTTTATTCAGCCTTATAACCCAGTCCTGGTATGGTGATGCTAACATTCAAGGGTGTGCCTTTCTTCCTCAGCTAAACCTCTCTAGAGACACCCTTACAGACATTCCCAGAGGCCTGTCTCTTAGATGACTCCAAGTCCAGCCACAATGACAAAGAATATTAATCATAGCAATCACCGGGGGAGGAAGGACAGGAAGCCCACATTCTTTATATTTATCATTCTTCATAAGGTCCAGACCTCTATGGAGAACCACCACCACCCCTTGACTCCTGCTTTCCATCTAGAGTTTGTCATCACTAATAGCCACAGTCTCTGAACCACTGGGAGTCATAATGGAGATGCCCACTAGGTGTTCACCGTAGAGTTCCCTGCAGTCAGAGGCATCACAAAGCAGAGCTGAGAATGTCCTTGACAAGCTCCTCCCCTGTCAAGGTTAAGCACAAATTCCTTGCTTTTTTTTGTTTTGTTTTCTACTTGGAGAATAAGTGTTACAAGAACAAAATTCTTCTGTGATCACTCTTATAAAACACTTTTGTGTTTGACTCTCCAAGGACTAAGAATTGGACACGTCGTTCTCCGCTCATTTCTCAAGTGTCAAGAGAGAACCGAGTTTAAAGGCTCCAATTCCCTTGCAAGTTGCAATGTCTAGCTAGATGGATTAGCATTCAACGCAGTGTTGGGGATATCTCAGACGATTTGCAGGTTTGCAAATTGTCCAGACTCATAATGAAATCTCAGACGAAGGAAATCACTGAACACATCATGGCATGACCTTTTCCCTTGAAGGTCAAACAGCCTGGGCCAATTCACTCATCCGCTGCCTTGACCCCATACATTTGAGTTAGCTAGTTCCTGGATAGGTCACAGACATACACCAACTTGGTGTGTCCTGGCCTCTGGTCTTAAAGTTGGTGCTCAGTGGAGCCTCACGTCCTACTCTGTGAGCACAATCAGTACCTTGACCTGGTGTCACTCACTACTGCTGCCCGTCTCTTGCTCTCCACACAGTCTCCGAGCTTGGGGAAGGATCAAACGTTCTCCCGTCTATTCCCATGCTTCCTCTCAGTTACAAGAGGATGAGTATCCTTCTCCTTATCCTGTGCTGTACTGTGGGTTCTGCCCTTCACAGCCTCGTACGTGTCAATCTGGCAACTATTTCTCTCCTACGTATTCAGTTTTATTTTGATTAAAGTGTTCCTTCAAAAAAATTTCAAGACTTTCATATTAACATTAGATACACACTTTCCCTTGACTAAATTCTCATTCCTCTTTTCTTTTCAGCAAAGTCTTTCCTCCTCTCCCTCATCCCTCTTCACCCCAACCCTACTCTCCCTCATCCATCGTCACCCTCATCCCTCCTCTCCCTCATCCCTCCTTTCCCTCATCCCTCCTCTCCCTCATCCCTTCTCTCCCTCATCCCTCCTCTCCCTCATTCATCCTCACCCTCATCCCTTCTCTCCCAGTAGCCTGGATTCCCCTTGAAACTCTAGGTGCTCAAAAATTTTGAATTTTGACCTTCTCTCTAGATAATGATGTCTGGTCCTGATACTCAGTGCTGGGCAGAAGCAGGACTCTCACAGTCAGCTTCAAGATCATGGTTCTCTACGGTGTTCTATGTTGCTAAAATAGAAGGTTCGGTAGGCTAGATAGGTTTAGGGCATTTTCAGCACAGGGAATTTTCTATTCACATTGGGTTGACTGAGACATAACCCCCCCATCATAATGGAAGAGACATATCCACTTCTTTAGAAGTTTCTCTTTCTGAGTTTTGCACCTCTTTCTTCAACTCTTTTTAGATTCCTCTCCTTATACTCTACCACTGTCTAAGCCAGGGTTTCTATTGCTGTGTAGAGACACCATAAACACAGCAACTCTTATAAAGGAAAGCATGTAATTGAGGTGGCAGCTTACAGTTAGGAGGTTCAGTCTATTATCATCATGGCAGGGAGCATGGCGGCATGCAGGCAGACATGGTGCTGGAGAAACAGCTGAGAGTCCTACATCTTACAGGTCACATAGGATGTCAAGTGAGACACTTGGTGGTATCCTGAGCATAGGAAACCTCAAAGCCCACCTCCACAGAGACACACTCCCTCCAACAAGGTCACACCCACTCTGACAAAGGCACGCCTCCTTATAGTGCCACTCCTACCAAAATTACATTCAAATTACTACACCCACTAAGGGTTTATAGATATCACCTTTGAACTCTCCTTCATTTTCTATTTCTGGATGTATCTAGAGAGTCTCAACTTTGTATCTCTGGGTGGTATATACAAACTACTGACCACTTGGATGTCCTAAAAATACTTCAATTCAGTATGGGTTTTTTTGGGGTTTTTTTTGTTTGTTTGTTTGTTTTTTGTCTTACCTTACTCCAACCCACACCTAAGCAGAACTAATCATCATCCTGGTGACCCAGACTTGAAAGTATGGCACTGATTTAGACTGCTTCCCCTCACTCAACTTCTCCATTCAATAAATCCCTACAACATGCCGATTCTGCCCCGCATACGTGGACTCGGCTCGGCTCGGCTCCACTCATCATGCTGTTGCCTTCAGAAATCACTCTGAACTTATCCTCACTGCATTGCTTCTGGTTATCCTAAAATGTGGCTTCCCATTGCTTTCAAGGCAAGTTCATAAGCGTGGCGTATGCTGCCCTTCAAAACCTGACACTACCAGATCCTCAGATTGATGGCTAGATCACTACTAGTTTTCCACCTGGACTTCACTTTTGCCATAGTGTCTCATGCTATGAATCTTTATTTTAAGCGTGTGAGTGCTTTATACGTGTGCCATGCATATCCGTGGCCAGAATAGGGTATTAAATCCCCTAGTCCTGGAGTTACAGATGGTTGTGAGATACCACGAGGGTGCCAGGAGTCAACCTTGGGTTCTCTGAAGAGGAAGCCAGTGGCCTTTAACCATGGAGCCATCTCCCCAGCCCCATAATAGAGGTTTCTTCAAGACACCAATTTATTTCACAGTTCTTCATCATTCTGTATGGCCTGGAGAGTGATCTCTGGTATCCATATTTTGATTATGAATGAGTGAGTTTATCATGTATATAACCACCCAAGCCAAAGCAAAATAACTAATATGAAGGGAGGGATGTGTATATGTGTGAATAGATAGATGATAGATGAATGTATGTATGTTGAGGGTGACCCTGCATGGACACCCCTTGGGGGAGGGGGTGAGAAGATGGAGCACCAATGACTCAGGCACTGGGAGTCAGTGAGCAGCAGAGCGTGCTGCAGACTCGTTTATTAAGGAAGTTAGGATTGCCTTTATACCCCCTCCCAAAGTCCCATTGGCTCAGGCTGCTGACTCTACTGTGTTGTCCTTTTCTCATTGGTATCTCCTGTCAAGTGTCTCTTCCTCGGCAGTCTCTGGGTGTAGAGGCCGGTTTGTCTCAGGAAGGAAACACCTGCCATGCATGCTTGCGCAGGCTGGTCTGGGCACTGGGCAGAGCGACTACAGCTTGAGTAGGCTGGCCAGCAGTTTCATCGATGGATGGATGGATGGATGGATGGATGGATGGATGGATGGATGGATGGAGATAGATATAGAAAGATAGGCAGTCATACAGACAACAAATAAACATTAAATCAGGTATTCAAAACATCCAGTAGAAGTGGGCTAGGGACTCCCTGTTATGGCATTCAGCTGAAATTCCTGATTGGGAGATTCCTGAGCTGAACCATGTACCTTAGGTGAGCCTTCTGAGTAAAAGAACAAATACAGCAAAGATAACACCATCGCCCTGTGGGCTCATGACATCCAGAAGGAACCAGCCTGGATAGTTGAGGCAATCAACTGAAGCTCCCAGTTTGAGCTTTCTGTTTGTGGATGAGCTTGCCATGGCTGAACCTCTGGGTTCTGTTTTACTCTTGCATCATGATGCAAACAATAACGGCATCAATAGAAAATAGTTTACCTTGTAGCCATTCTCAAGGGCACTATGGTTTCACTCTGGCTATTTAGCTGCTCTCTCTTTGTCACAGAGTTGGTGGAGGGGTGCTAGATCATCCCTAGACAAGGGACCTTTGAGACAAGCAGGTTTAGGTCTGGAATGGGAGGAGGGACTCCAGCTTCCAGAGCCAGCTTCTCAGACAGTTTACCAATATAATGTGCATTACACTCATCTCTTCTGACCCCTCTACTTCTATCATTCTTCTCTCCGGCCCTTGCAGCTAACTTCTAATTATATTTATATTCTCAGCTGAACACGTCTTAATACATTCACGTCTCTTAGGATTACTAACACTAATTCTTGCTGTTGTTTCTGTTAGTGTATTTCCTTTTAGTATTTCCGATCCCCCGCTCTGTTCCTTCTTAGCAGTCCTACAACAGCATTAATCATACGATGTTGTGACTGGCTGCTCCCCTTCATATTTTACTATTCTCACATTGCTTTTCTAGTTTGTAAAGACATTTGAGTTCTTAATTTCTGTTTAAAATAACAACAAAACTGCTCTGCGATTTTCAAATGAAATGATAGTGGTGGTGGGGATAGTGGTGACGATAATGGTTGTGATAATAACATAATTCACTGGAATGTGTGCAAGGATCTTTCTAAATATTTTGTTATAATCTTATTGCTAATCTCATTTAATGTGAGAATAGACTAATGCTGTGAGAGGTAAGGTCCCTGACCAATGGCTTATGAGTGCTAGAGCCAGAATGTACATGGAATGGTACTCCAGAGACCAAAAACAAAAAAGAAAATATTTTTGTGTCCTGACACTAACTTTAGCCCCATTATTTTGTGAGAGACAGCCTGGAATAATAATTCCCAATATTCATAAGCTTACTTCTGTTCTCTTGGAATTCTGTCTTTGAATAAAACACAGTTGTCCCAACAACTATAAAAGGAAATAAAATACAGACATATTTAAACAGCTAGGCAAATATTTTAGATGCTAAAACACACAGATGCAGTGAAAGGTAAAAAGAGAGAGAGTATAACAAGCTGTTTGAGGAACACCTATGAAATTAGTTTGGAGTAGGCATTGTTTGACCCGTGCCTGAGCAGTAAGCAGCTGAGTATGTGTAGGTGAAAGATACATCAGGAACCCAGGGGTAGTTGTAGGGATAGCAGCATTCTCTATCATGCCAAAGGATAAAACAAGAGTAAGAGCCTTTGGCTAATCTTATTGCCCACTCATGATTCCAGCTCATAGTTCCTACTTTGTAAGGGTCTGTGGGTTATAAAAATAAGACATCAGAAACTTCAAGCTGACATAGGCTTCCCTCCCAAAATTCAGTACCTTCCATCTGAACTGGAATACTCAGCCCACACTCCTGTGAGCAATGAGTTGAGTCTTGGACAACGACTTACCAACATAGGAAAGAGTTGTGATATTGTGGAGCTTTCTATCTTTACACAGTATGATTCTTGCTTCCAAGACTACTAAATTATTAGTAGTCTTTTCTCAAACTACAGAGCTGGGTCACTTCTACCCAGAAATCAGCTATGTAAATTTTACCCTGCTTATCAGAAGATAGCAATCACTTGCTAAATCTATCCATTTATTAATTTTGAATAAAGTAGACATATATTGAACAGGTACACTTACTAAAGGAAAGTGAGTAATGACCATAAGTAACCTGAAGTTAGTAATGACCAACTCTAACATGTGCATGGACATGTCAACTTCGGAATCTATTATCTTGGAAATATGCAGATAATAGTTTTTTAAATACCTGTGCTATTCTTGATGTTTTACATATAAAATAACTTAAAATTATATATTTGATTCAAATAAATGGGACAAAACTACACAATGTAAACAATACTGGAAGTTGGAATAAATGGCCCTATGTCTTTTGGCTTACAATAAACTTTTAGTTTGTGGTCATGTCACATTCTAATGGAAATCAGCCTGTTGTTGTGCTCTTGGAGGAGATGTGGTGTAATGAGCAGTTATCCAAGTACTCAGACTGTCCCATCTAACTGGCCTTGTGGGATCTTCAAGGCCTTAGAGCTCTGAAGTTCTCCACTGACCTCTCTGCATCTGATCACCCATAAAATATGGATGTTTGCCACATTTCCAGACCCAGGTCTGGGAATAGTATGCCCTGCCCAAATTCCATTGGCCAGAACATATCTATGCAAGGCAAGCAGGATATTCTGTCTTCCTGTCTAGCCAAGAGAAAAGAAAAAAAATTGGTGAGTATATAACATTGCCTTTGTCAAAGCCTTTACTCCATTCAGTAGCCTACTTACTCTGAGTGTTCTGAAGGTTCAAAGGCTTTTTGTTTTCAGATGTTAAACAGATTCGTATTAGGTTGGTAGAGACAGCCGAGGTTTCAGAAATAACACAGTCTTCCCAACTTTGCCCACTCTTTCCTTGGTCAGCACTTCCTGCAGCTGTCCAATTAAAAATCTCTTAAAATGTGCCCACCACATGTCTCTAAGAAATATGTATTCTGGATCTTGCTTCCCCTACATAGGAAACCAACTTCTAGGCAGTTTCTCCTCAGAGTTCCCTTATAAACATCTACCAGAGAAGTCATAAAATACACTTCCACATGGTAATGTAGATTTCAAAGAATTAAAGGATATAGAGCAAATATTGGGAAATTACGGAGTGAACTTGTATTTCTGCTGTTTACTTCTATAGTCTCTGATATCTGGTAATTCTGTACCCATGCCAGGAAAACAGATACTTTAGTGATTCTATAACAAGATGCACAGCAGTAAAAGTGTATTGTTCCTTCATAGGCGTAGTAAACTCAAGCATTGTTGCTGTTGTCATGGAGATTAAAACATAGAAATGTATGCTAGAAGTGAGAATCCAACAGAAACATAAGCTCTAGGAGAGGAAGTCTTCTTCACTGATGGAACCTCTAGTGTCTTGAGTAGAATCTGCAAATGCTAGCTGGGGTCCTCAGGTATTAATAGTGAGATGAGTAGAGATCATTCAGCATGCTGTGAATCATCCAGCTTTGAAGCTGTAAGAAAAGAAACATTCATCATGGGGATTTGATGAAAAAGGATGAAGACCATCAGAATGTTAGAGGGCTACAGAGAACAAAGGAATAGTCAAACACACAAGATGAGACAAACCATGTGTGCAGTGTGGTAGGAAAGGGGGCTTGGCTCAAACCAAAGTAATCAGATGGTCGAAGGAGAGCCAAGCGTGGATAATAAGCTTAGAAACACCATCTAGGTGTGTGTCCTGGTTCTTCCATTTATGCAGCATCTGAATAAGCCACCTCCCTTTGCCTGGTTTTAGATATATAATTTGAAAATACACACACACACACACACACATATATATATATGCATATATATATAGTACATGAATGGAATAAAATAAGAAAGGCATTTAGGTTATTAAAGAGTTACTTAAAAGATGGCATTAGTACTGTTATTATTGGTAACCACCATGTTGTTGCTGGCCTTTGATTCTAGTAGTTTTCATATAATGAGAAAATAGTCTACAGAATGACTCTAAGCTATATGCACAGAAAGAAATTGGTGAAAAATGGAAGCTACTGGGCGATTGTTTAACTGAGTGATTTCTAAATAGGAGAAGTGAGAAAATGACCTTAAGATTATGAATAAATATTAGAAACCATTGACAGTTAAGTATCTGTGATTAATTTAAATATTTATGGGAGGATTTATTTATTCATTGAGGTCAACAAAGGAATTTGATTAGAATAATACTCTACCACACTTGTTAAGGAATGCAACAAGGAACATTATTGCTGTTAATGATTCTTGGCATATATAACTTTCCTCATCTTTGGAAAATCCAATGAGCATTGACTTAAACTTCATTTCAACTATACTCTCAAATTAAAGTCATTGTTTCTGGGTATCTCTGAAATTATAGAATATAATTTGGTGGTTGAAATGTGAAGGAGATGACTCAAGAGGCAGAGGTAGAGATTGCATATTCATAGAGATAGGTCTGCAGGTGATGGCATTGTCTGAGAACAAAGGGGAGCAATATGTTACACAGATAGTTAACTGTGTAGTAAACATTAACCATATGCAGGACTCTTACAGCTCCCTTATTCTGCATCCAAAGCAGACATAACCAATTGATCACATATTCTTTCAAATTGAGTCTTGATTGGAGCATTAAGCCTTTGTGAATTTAGAGAGCTCTGCCTATGCTACGAATACCAACAGATCAGTATTGTTACAGGCGCAATGAAACCTCCGCCCTATCTTGGAGTAAAGGGTAGATTTACAAAGTTTCAGACAAAAAAAAATTACCCTTGTTTCTAATGACATCAATATGCAAGTGAGGATTATTAATAAACCAATAGTAAATAAATGTAGGTGTCAGGTGGAAATCTGTTTTAACCTCTCTTCTCACACACCGTTTTCCTTGATCATTTGGCCCTTTTTTATTTCATTATTTATTCATCTGACTGGTGAAATCACTCCCCCCCCCACTCTTATGTGGCGCATGCTAGAGAGACAAATAATCAAGCATGTAATTTGGATTTGGCTTCTCCTGAAAAGCATGTAGTATACCATAGTTAGAGAGGCACAACCGGTCAAACCATGTCCCCCTTAAAAGTGATGTGATCTCTTGTGCTTTTTTCTTTGTTTTAAAAATGAGAATATACTTAAGACGAAAGAAAAAGTGAAAGGGGTATGCCTCCTCCTGGAGTTGCAAATCTATTTCTGGTTTCAAAGAAAGTTACAGTGGGGGAGCTTTGCCAGAGAGCTCAATTCTATAGAAGATAAGATACTAATATGAAAATATCTAATTAATAAATTCTCTCTGTCTAACTGTTCTGTCTGGGTTAATCTTCCCTTCTTCAGAAACATGGAGAATGGGGAAGAGATTCTGTGAGGTTAAAGGGGTGAGAACCAAAGAGACTTCTATTCAACGGGATGTTGTGCACAGTTCTATGTTTACTCACCACATTACTAGGGTGAGCATCTCTGTGGTGAGTGTCCTTCACTGACCTCACTTCCAGGGCAACTTCAAGGACTCATATTTCAGTATTTTAATAAGAAACATGCTTTAGGGATGCCAAAGGCCTAAATTTGGGTATTAGTTCATTATTGGGAGTTTCTTATCTTTTTATCCTACACAATGAGATTTTTAAAAACTTCTCCAAAAAGTCACTGAGAGAAGTTAGCCCGTTGGGCCACAAAGAGCAACCAGCACCATGCCTAGATGTTGCAAGAGTGACGGATATCATGTGTTCTTATAACTGGTAATGTCTGACCGTGTCAGATTCCTGTCGCCACTGTAGTAAACCACCACAAACCTGATGGCAGCTTTTAATAACACAATTTTTTTCTTTCACAGTTCTAGAGGACAAAAGTCCTTGCCTTTATTTTCTTTGCCATTGCAGTAGTCATTGTACACTGTCTGTGGTCATACGCTTTATTTTCATGCAATTGGCAGTGCAGTTGGTTCCTCTTATTTTCATTGTCACAGACACATGACTAGCACATTCCACTGTGACATTAAAGTGGTCACAGGAAGAGTCTTTCAGCCATGTCACACACCTTATGAAACCTCCACTAAGTGCCACCCTTTGCCATTGCCCGAATATTATGTGGCCTATGACTGCTATCTTTATAACTGAAACTGTTAATTCTTGTTAGACTTTCATACTTGGGTACTATGTTTACATCATTTCTACTCTTTTCTATCTCCTAACTCCTCCCATGTTCCTTCACTCCTTCCCAAATTCATAGCTGCTTTATACATACATACTACATACATACACACACACACACACACACACTGACCAACCACACCATTTAGTGTTGCTTGTATGTGCATGTGTGTAGTGCTGACCTCTTGGAATTGTATAACCCAAGAAAACTTCCCTTTTCCACAGCCTTTGATTGCCTATAGCTCCTTATACAGGGACATGGACCTTGTGAACTTCCCCCATTCACTTTGGCATGTCAACTGGTGGAGCCATTATGTAGGTCTCGTTTAGGCAGCCATATTGTTGATATTGAATGGGAGCAACGTCCCGATCATGCCTAGATGAGACCATTCAGCAGCAGACTTCCCAGTTCCCTGGCTCTTACAACCTTCCTACCCCACCCCCTCATCTGCAGTGTTCATTGAACTTTAAATGTGGGGGTTAGATTGTAAATATACCAATTGTACTTGAGCACCCCACATATATTTATTTTCTGCATTTTGGCCAATTGTAGATCTCTGTAATAGATCCTATCTGCTTCAAAAAAGGAAACTTGTTTGATGAGGGTACACTATTAACTACACTTATCTGTGGGTACTAGGATAAGTATATTGAATATAATTAGAAACTATATTGCTTTAGGAAAACTGAAGTAGTATGTTCTCATCTAAGGCATACAACCTCTCTGGCCATGGACAGTTAGCTATATTTTCCATTCCTGGTATGAATTCCCTCCTATTGAATGAGTCTTAAGTCCAGTCAGATAGCTGTTGGTTGTACCCAAGATAAAAGTGCCATATTGCTCTGCTGGTGATATCTTGTCAGGCAGATCACTTGTGGTTTGTAAGTTTTACAGCTGGGTAGGACTATTGATTGTTTTTCTCCTTTGGGATCCTGCATTACCACTTTCTGATACTATGATAGCCAAGTCCCTAGGGAGGAGGCTCTCCAGGTCAGTTCCAGCTCAGTTCCTTCAAGTCCTGTGTCTGAAGTGTGTGGTGTCTTTAACAATAGTTCTCACCTTCAAGCTCTGGGAGGCAACCAAATATAACATCAATGTCCTGTATTGTTTGAGTTGAGGAGTGTGTGTTGGGCCCATATGAACAACTCAAAGCTAGGTTCCCTTACCTTAGCACTGGGTTGTTTCTAGACAGTCTGAGGCTGGTGTTGGGAACATACTCACTCCATTTAAACTGCATCTAAAATATATTTGTAAGTGAGCATTTACCATATATATCCCTGTGGCTGTGGTCCCTTCCTCTGGTCTGTTATATTTTTACTATTACATAGCCAGAGAAAGGCTTTGAATCCTTCCAGGTCCCTTTCAAAAGAACCACCATGACGAAATTGACATTATAATAATTCTGTGTCCAAAATCCTTAGTAATAGCTTCAAAGTTCCCTTTGCCAAATAAGGATAAAGTAGCAGTCATGGACTCAGGGGTTACAGGCTGTGGGGACTGTTACTGAACCTACTGGAATGACCAAAAAGACTTTTGAATACTGTCAAAATAATCTCCATGTTGACGTAATGCACAATGGTAGTATCGATTCTGAGGGCATGAGGCCTTGAGAAGCTAATAAAAAAAACCATCTATGGGTTCTCCATATCACCCATCTAGTCTTCCCCCTCTATCCCATCTGTAATTGCTCAGACAGAGGAAATAAGTGAGTAGGGCAGAGTACTTTCTAGCTCTGCAAACTGATGGCAGGTGCATTTGCCACGTGAGATCTCACAATTTCCCTGGATGTGCCCCCAAAACCTTTCCCTAAAATAAGGACTCAAGGTCTTATAATTTTCTGAAGCACTAACGTGGATGAGCACTAACATTGTATGTTAGCCATGGGTGTCTCTCATTGTCTGCCAGGTAGCTGATAGGATCCAGGACACAGTGCAGAACATGCCTGGGAGACATCCCACCAGAGGGGAGTAAGTTCTCCTTTTGGCAGAGGTCAGAACTAAGGCATTGTCTTTAGCATTTCCAGTCATTACTCAAGTACCTTTCATGGCCAAGATGGCTATAGGAGAGGGCTTAAATCAGATAGCATCTTACAAAGAATGTTAAGGACCATGGGATATAAATAGAGTTGATCTCTCTGAAAGTCGGTCCACAGTCTTCACTTTCTTAGGGGTATTTGTGATATCAGTCATGTGTTAAAGAGTAGCTATTGCATGCCTCACACAACACAATAGCTCAGTATGTGGATGTCTTCTAAGTAACCGTGATACCAGTTTCCCCTCTGTTTCTGTTTGGGAAGATCACTGAGAACCTCTGAACTCTGAGGGTTTTGTTGTTGTTGTTTTGTCTTGTT